TGCATCGGCTGATAATAAGCAATTGTTGATGTGATCTTCTGGTGCGCTAATCGGAAGCAAAGGACGGCTATGTGAGACGGAAGGGTCTTACACGAATCAACAATATGAGTGAATGGACAACAAAGCTCACCCCACCGACATTTTGTGGCGAGACTTTTTCTCCGTGAATAATAAAAGTGCCGTTATTTAATTGATATATGTCGCTCTTTTGTTTTTCGTTTCTTATACGTCAATAACATGAAATTTTATGCGACTTACTTTGAGGAGTGCGTGAATATCGGCTTCAGTGGGGAGTGTTCTTGCACCTAACGCGCAAAGCAAGAAGCAATCTCTATGGCGTGTTGTTTGTGTGTTCATCAGATCGGGCTGCGCAGGATAACTTCTTGTCAGCCGTGCAGTATGATATTCCTTGGATTCCTAACGTAACCTTAGAAGGACGTTTTCAGATCTTCACAATGCCGTTTTCCAGGAATATATTTTCGGCGACGATTCCTTGGCCGGCTTTGTACTAGTTATTCCGAAGATGATGTTAAGGCCGAAATCAGTAGCAAAAGTAAGAATGAAAAAGCAACCGCCAGCTTCCGGATGATATTGACGCCAATTTCGAGTCCGAGTATTCCTTTACAGTTGAAATATCCGAAAAAGTCATCAGTACATTCTGCACACCTAGTACATGGGGCGCCGCCACAGAGCGGTTGTGGTGGTCGTCGCGGCCCGCGGGCGAAACCCTGCTCCCAACATTATTCGGCAGTCAAAAACGAAACGCCCTATGGAAGGTCATAATCAGGCTATTCTCGGGATTGCAAAGAGACGTCCTCGGCCAGTATTTTACGACATTCAAGAAGAGAACGAAGAATCGATTTGATTGCTACAAATACTGGAATGCGCAAGTGTGTTGGAGACAGGAATTCGTTTTATTTGACAGCATCACAGTGGTGGTAAATGACACAAATATACCCAGTGATACTGAGTGACGCGCAAAGCTTCTGCTTGAGCGGGACTTGAACCCGTATTTTACACTATCCGAGGATCGTGCTCTATACCCGTTTAAACTACCAACGCCTGTTTACCACCACTCTTTCACATTGCGACACATCAGTCTGTCAGCAACCAACCATCAATGATTTGGCGGGGTAGCCGATATCAGCACTGAACCCAACTAAGGTACATACATGTACATATGCATATAAATGCGTAAATATACCACTCTACTTGTTTCATCGGCAAAAAACAATCATTTGATTCATTCAAAGCAGAAACAGTTATAGGAGCTCTAGACATTCTGTTTGTCTTCTTTCTACACATGGCAAACTCTTTGTAATCTACGCAAGAATTCGACCATTGGATATCATTATTCTTTAAGAAAATCGTTAGCAACGAAAAAAGAGGAGTAGCAAAGGCAATTTATGTATCGCTAAATTAATTTACTGCTAACCTCCACACATCATCTGAACTTGGAAAAGACACAACATAAGAGTGAAAGTCGGTGGTAGACAGCATCATCTACTTTATGCCGATGACATCCTTCTCATGTGTCAATCGTTACCGAAACAAACCAATGCTTGCCGATTTTGATAACGCCTGTGGAAAGATTAGTAGTAGACTGAACCTCACGAAAAAGATATTATTGAAGAACAGATTGGCATCTTATGCTCCACACACTCTCAGCGAGTCAAGACCTCTGAATGCTACATGAAATTTTTTAGTGAAGGAAATACTGACACGTACGTTTGAAAACCTAATTATTGGAGCCTCGTTGCAGTATCTAGTATTTGTAGCTCCATTCACATTAGTGATGTCGGGATTGGTAGATCAATGGTAAAAAACCAGAGCTCCCAAGTGCCTGAGGTTAGATTATGCTTTGGCATTGAAGCTTACATTTCATATTTCCGCGAAGCAAATAGCCATATATTATTCCACGTATTCTATTGCATGTTAAAACACAGAGATTGCTTGAAAATGGCCGAAATTTATTCGGTGTACCCAGCAACTCCACTTGTCCTTTCCTGTGATTCCCACAGCCAGTTTTATTAGATTACATTTACAGGGCCTCCAGATGTACCACCTATGTGGCCGCGGCATCCTATCTCCCCTGCTCTCTGTGTGATCACATTATCTACTGCTATCATTTTGGGTGGTTTGAGACCAGATGCTTAAGGAAATTTTTCAAAAAGATCTTGCATAGTTTTCAAGTGTGAATAAAGATATTTGCGTATTACGTCTGTGAAGTGCTTCAAATTTGAAAGCCTGGCGAAAAAAAAAAACGCTGCTTTTGCATTACCATTCTACAATTTCAAGCCGCTGTCAGCTCGCGAAGGAGCTTTATTTTACTGAGCTTTATGACACTCTTTCGAGTTCGCAATACATCAGATTTGGCAGTTTATATGGTTTAGTTAACCTTTCTAACTTTGCTTCACCTTAGAAAAGCAAGGAGATTGTCAAGCAGTGTCTGAAGCAGTTCACTAACAGGACGCCTTTCTTTGTTCACATTAGCACCCTAGGCTAGCCGAGTTCTCCCTTCATTTGTAATGCAAATTTCGATCTTAAACTTGTTTGAGGAGGTTGAACAATGTTGTCGAGACTTTACTCTGCGATTCCATGAGTCAGTTATATATTTTTCCACCTTTCTGGAGGAAGTGTCGCACCAGTTCTAGGAGAATACTAACCGCCTTTTCACTCGTCATCCTTCCTGACTTTGAGCAAGCTCTTTATTATTTCCGAGATCTAATCATTGTGCAATGGTGCGACTGTTCACTGTGCTTATTGATGAGCAGATACGAGGTTTCTATGAATCTCTTTCGTGCTTGGTGCTTCATCGTGTTTCGCATTCATCAAATCACGATGACTCAAGTCGAGTATCAACAGCAGTAGCACATCTCGCGATATTAGTTTTCGTAGTCAAATTGAGTAGAGTTGATCACTTGACGATTAAAGTAGCATCCTTAGCGCTACTTTCTTAGAGCAAAATCCTTCTACAATGGACTTGTGATAATGCGCACTACTCTGTTCGTTACCATGCGACGATTACAGAGTTAAGCTTTGCAAGAAAAAAAAAACTGCTATGAACACTCGACTTAAATCATCCTTGCTTTGATGAAGACGAAGTCGCCGAAACGTTTGCTCGCTGTGATGAAGATTTATGAAAACTGTTATAAACTTACCAATAAAAACAAAATAATGACCACCATGCCTAGGAAGTAACTTTGAACCAGCACTAAATAAGCACTCAAAAACTGTTTGTAGAGTTCAATGTGTGCAGTGGTTAATATGATGGAATAATGCTCACTAAGTCTGACCTCACTTTTCGATGACTTTTTTCTTTGGAAATTTGAAGTTTTTTTGCCACATTTCTAAATCCCAGTCAACATAAATGATGCATAAAGCACTGATCGAAAGAAACATTACTGTTCACATAGAAAATATGCAGAAAACCAGTGCTTGAAGGACTTCACGGCTGCTAATTTGTTTAGTTAGCGAAACCTTAATTCCGCCCATCACGTGGCAAATGCGGACATCGAATTACTGGATTTCCTTCAGATTGCTGAAATCTTTTCCAGGGATTCATCATTCACTGAGGTATTCGAGATTTGAACTCAGCCACTGCTTGGAGCTCTTTTGTCTCTTATTGGAACTAGCTGGAGTAGTCAGGATTATTGTTATACTTGCGATGTAGCCGTGCTAGAGTATATACAGAAAATAGCCACATCGGATGTAGTGTTTCTGATTGAAATGTTCTGTTTGCAGAGAAGTCTGCGACCATTTCTCTACTACGACATGAAAGTTATGATAAGCTCGGTGTGATGTTGAAACGTTCTTGTACTTGTCATTATTAACTTTAATATCGCGGTACTGAACCTTTCGAGACATACTGAGACTACGTAGCCCTAATTTCTCAAAAATAGTAACGATAATGTGCCTGTAGAGTGTGCTAGAGCAACACAGCAAAAGGTAGAAAACATTTCATTTATATCACATCGATAAAGAGAATTTCTTCCGAATTAATCATGTTGTGATCCGCTCAATTTATCATGTCATCGAGGAAATAAGGTTTCGTGTTTAGAGAGTAGCACTGTTGATAACAGCCTAGAAGCAAGTGATTTAGAGCGGAGATTATGAGAAAGCAGATTTAGTATAATCGTTAGGGTGTTCAATTACGCAATCTAAGACTTTTTTTACATAATCTAAGACTAAAAATAATTCCTGATTTTTTAGCCAAACACAAGGTGCTATGATACCTTGTGTTTGGCTTAAGGAAGAAAATCAGGAATAATTGGAGCTAGTCGAGGTTAATAGATAGTCGCTCTTGGGAATTACTAGAATTCATGTATTCTATATACCTCCATGAAGCGCATTAACATCAAACTCCAAAAATTTTCGCACTTTCTCAATCATAGCCTCTCTTTTTTTTCCAAAGGTTTTCAAAGATTCCCAAAGGTCCTCTTTTTTCGAGGCCGTGCTGCACTACCAATACCGCTCTGCTACCACTCATATTTTCTTCTCTCAGTGAGAACAGACATATCTGTAATTACATTATGTTATTACCATTATATATTAAGGGGTGGTGAGTGACATACCTCTGAACCTTAATGGAGAGTTAGAGTCGGATTTCATCCATGCTGGACACGCGTTATCTCTGCACCACTGAGACACTTGCTCCTCGGTCGTATAGTGGTAGCGCGCACCGCTCGTTTCGGTAACGCGAGTTGAACTACCGGCTGAACAATCAAGCTTTGAGGATCAGTAAGCATATCTGTACACTCCCAATATCCAACATTGTGACGAAGCTGTAAAATAAAAAACCTCTTAGATATATATATGAAACATTATAAAACTTCGAAAGAGGCAGTGAAAACACCGGAAATCTGGAGTATTACTTATCATAGTGACTGTCAGCTCAGCTGGGTGTATAAAGCGAAATGGCATACCCGACCAAGCCTGTTAAAGGTTGGTGACTGCCAGTTGACACTGAGATGTTGAGGAATGAGCGATGGTGCGAATGTACCTTGGTGGTGCAGTGGTGGCACGAGTCGCCGGTATGGATGAAATGCAGGTTCGACTCCCGTCTGAGGTCGTACCATTGTTCATTACTCAATTCTCTTAGGGATGAAAAACGTTTCAGGATATATTGTGATATTAATTAATGTTCGTGCAGAAAATAAAGTAAAAACTTCAGTCTGATATCTCAACTGTATTAGTAATACAGAATATTAGTTATAATGTTATGCAGTGAACTACAGAGGACTATCATTAACTCATAGCAAAGTCTTAATTCTCTCAATCAAGTCTGGTATCAATTTAGTTATCGTAAACGAATAGAATGCGTGTTGAATCCGAGATGAGAGATCGAACGAGCGGCCCAGTTATCATTACAGACCACCTCAAATCGCTGCGCTGCGCTTGTTCACTGTAAAAATGATCATTAGAGAGAACTGCATGTTATGCGGCCAGCACACATATATTCGGTCTTTGCAATTTATTCAGCAGTGACGTGAAAAAAACATAGGTGAATGAATCAAACAACGGAGCTCTTTGTTTATTAGTTCAACACTAGAAAACATCAAGCTTCAAGTGCAGCGGTATAATGATGATTCAAAAATCTAGCGCAACATTCTTCGTGTATTCTAAAAATGACAGTACTACATTTAGTGGACAAAGCATCGAAAGCTTATTTACACAAAACCACTCTAATAAAACCCTTATTTTGCAATAAATGTGAGCTCATACAAACTTTCCTTATGCTCACTTTTCATACCAACATGTCATAGCGCTCTGAAAATGATGGTTGTTTTTTGATGATGGTTGATTCATATCAAAGAATAAAGAATTTCACTGAAGAATAAGGCATTCCAATGTCATATTTCACGCTTTCTTCTTACCAAAACTTTTCAATCTCATGTATGTATTCGCTGCTCGTTTCGTAATTCCGTGCACGATATACCATCTTTTAGTGGAACGAAACAAAGCAGTCAGTGAGACTTCACAGAATGTACAGTTTCTACGTATTATGTATTTTCCTGAGTAATGCACTAGCCTGTGTACACCTAGGCAGACTCTATAGGAGTAATGAAGTATGGGTGAGTGCAGCAAGAGTTCAAAAACCTTAATAACTTATTTCGCTGGGACTGAAAAATTGAATGCGAGCCTTAGTTAAAAGTAGGAATTTCACTGCATACGTGCTTCATAGTTACACAGTGCCAAAGGTGCTCGGATATTTACATGTGTATGAACAACTACGGTGTGTAGAAAGATCTAAAATCGAAAAACAGTAACTTGAGTTTTTTACTGCTTCAAAAGTTTCTTTTCCTTGAACAGTTGAGGATTCTCGATCGTTATCGTATAGAGCGATAAAATAAAAAAGCATGCTGTATCAATAAAACGCGTACAGAGAAAGAAAGCTGGATTATTTCACTATGACTACTCGTATATACGAAAGACATACATACGTCAAATTCGCTCAACAGTTACATGGAACGTAAGCACCTTCTACTCACACATGTAGTATAAGGAAAAACACTGGTCTACCGAGGAAGTATTACAAAGCTGTACAAAATAAAATTCATCTTAAGCACTAACTGTACATAACGCAGTTGGATGGGCTGAGGTGAATAGCCGAATGGTTTGTGATGCAATAAATTGAAGAGCAGGGTGCCGGTCCGATCTCGTCCCCGGTCTCGTACAAGGCACTTGGGAACGCCTTAGCTAGACTAAAGCCTAAATTAGCCCATCTCTAAGACTGTAAAAAGACACTTTGCGATCAATAGAGATTTCGAAGAGCTCAAGCAGCTGTAGAAGCAATACACTAAATAATCAGAAATCTCTGAAAGTATAAGTGCGTGGGAGCAAATCGATTGAATGGTCTGGGATCTGCCCAATACACCTGATAAACGTTTATGTAAAAAGCACCGTGTGGTTATAATGCTCTAATTTTAATTTATGCTTCTTTTATGTGGTAGAGCGCACTACCAAACAGAAATATAAGGATGCTGAGATCGAGCGAATCTCGGCAAGTCAGATTAGCTTAGAACGCGCGATCAGCATTTCTGGAGTTGACGTACTATATATCATACTGAATCAGTTAAAGACCTCATCTTTAATTTTTTTCGGTGGTAATCTTAGAGTAGCACCTATAAAGTTAACAAATGTTTGAGAGAAAGACGAGAGAGCAGCTTCGATCGGTTTAGCACGTAAACGCGCAACAGCGGTAGTCGCCAGCTTTTTAATAAGGTGTCGAGTTTCGCTCATATCGTGACATCTCTGTGGTCCTATTTGACACTTTTATGTATTCTTCTTACTTGTTAATAATGTTATTGTTATTACTACTACTATTACTATTGCCTGTTACTTTTTGATTGAATCATTCCTTTCAGATTCATAAGGAATTTTTCCAAATGAAATGTGTAGAAACCTCAGACGGATTTTGGATACCAGTCGTTTTTCAATGCGTTGGACCAAGAGGGATTGTGGTATTTACATTTCATGAATAACACTTATTATTCTTATAATATAATAATGGTGTAATAAGCTTGTGAAGTTCTTCATATTAGGAGAAGCTTTTATTTTACAGGTGAGAAATCGCCATTTTTTGAGGAAAATAAAAGTGAGTTACTATTGGCAAATATACCATTCCAATATTAGGTGCTAGAACCTTAGGACAAAATAGGGACAACTAGACATTTGATGATCAAAAACGAGTTTCATAATAATTGAAATCGCAAATTTTTTCTGCCCACAGTAGCAAGTTTTGTCTCACAGGTGAAGGTATTTCCTCGAAAAAAGACGAAAGTTGATAAATTCAAGGCGGAGTTAACAAACTGAAAATTACGGAGAAACTTGACTAAGTTTTGAGCAATGATGAATTTTTATGAAAAAATACTCAAGATTCTTAGGTAGGAAAGCGCGCTTTGCGCAGTGGTTTGAGTGTCTTGCACAAGAAAACGGATCGGTGACTGAATGCACGTCACACCGTTACTTATCACTTTTTCCACTTCATTATTGCAACGTTGTTTGTAGACTAAGTTGGTATTAGACAAACAAGAGTGAGAGCGCTGACAAGTGCATCGATGTACTTCATTGTATTCTGATGCATACAATTGTTACCTCCGATTTGTTGCGAGCAATTTTGAAAGGTGATCTATTTGTCGAGGATTACGAGCTAAGTATAGAAGGATCATTGATTCTTTTTGATCACCCGGTGACAAATGAAAAAAACGACCCTTTTGCTAAACAAAGACTTCCCAATGTACTTTTAGTAACTATTCGAAAGCTTATATGTTTGTCTGCCGCTCTAAGTGGACCTTTTTCAAGCCCTTTTATTATGCTGCAGCAGAAAGAAAATACTTGTGATTTACAGACGCAGGTTTCTCGCAGGACAGAACTATTTCCTGGAATTATGAGCAACCATTTGATACTATAAGTTTCTACGATTTCAGCGCTGTACTAATTTCCTGTAAAGCTTGTTCCACTTCAGTGTTGTAAGGAAGGTAAGATTGAGTTACATACTCGACGCAATTGCTCATCAGTTTATGGCGTGTGGTAGCAGTGGGTCGAATACGGCGATCGATCGATCGCGCTGGCGCTACTCACAGGTGGAGTGCGATCCCTGTTTGAATTTGGGCACTGAAAAAGATTTCAAATAAAACGCAGGACTGCGATGTTACACGACTTCTTTTACACGTTCATATGTCTTTCGTGCTTTCAGCGAAGTAGCAGAAAGAGCACTCGGCCGGTGTAGCATAATTAATTTTGGTAGCTACAGCTTTATAAGAAAGCTTTTTCGTAGAACGGCCAGGTAACGCAGAAGCCAGAGAGCTAAGCTGTCTAGTGATTACTAACGCTCTTATAAAAATCTCTTGTCCAGCGAAAAGGGTCATTTCATTATTTGTCCCGGCTAATCGGAAAGAATCACATTATTCCTTATACCTTTACCTTTAGAAAAATGTAACTGACAAAAGGTCAATCATATAGTTAATGATGAAGTCATTTTCTCAATGGCTAATCAGTTTAATACGGGTTCATCCTAAGTGGAAGATTCTCAATTAGTCAGTAATCAATGAAGTTACGTGGTGCGACTCCAGGTAGCATAGAGAGGTCGAATGTGGATCAAAAGCCACCTTTTGCTTTCTCAAATCGCTGACGATCTAAGAATAAACTACTTGCCTTTGCAGGGAGATTTATTATACCTTCTGTGCTGCAAACGTTCATACACGACCTTTGAAAAAACCCGCATATATGGTAGCTTTAAGTAGGGAAGTATGGGAAAGTGTGTATTTTGAGATCATTCAATATGCTTGCATCTTGAAAGAGTGGTGTAATGATCTGTCTATCTATTGCACGTTTATTTATATTGTGATATCCATTATGAGCCTGAAGATGTAAGCTAAAAGATTAAGTTACGACGTTGGAAACTGAGAGGCTAAAAATACCACTCACTTGACTTAGGCTATCACTCGTCCTCGACAAATGCGGCAGTAGGTAATTAGAGACATTATCGAACTTGTAAGCACGCGTTTAGGGTCACGTACATCGTTTCTTCCAAGCAAGCACCTTGATTCAGATGAATACGATGGCTACGACTGAATAGATGCATATCAATAATATCGTTTTTTCTTGCTGATGGTCGCACAGTTTTAATTGCAGTATCTATCCACTAACTATCATCTACTGTTTCAGTTTCTTCAGAAACACAAAAAGGTAAACTGAAATGCATCTACCCAATCGAACAGTCTTGAAACCTCTGCATGTAAAATTGAATACGTGAAATCTAGTGTCATAACAAGTAGCTTGTTTTAGACCTTGACCGTTTTCTTCATTTGAATTCTTCCCATCTTTTGACAGAGGCAAGCAGCATAGACCCTTAGATGGACGAGAAGTGTACATAGCTTGAGTCAAAAACAGCCCAAAATATGCGCCAAGGTCGACTTTGTTCCAGTTACACTCTCCCCTGCGACTATTCTGGAATTTTGAAAAATATCCTGAAGGACTCAAAAAATTGCACAGAGAGTTTAGAGATTCCGTGGATGATTACTTAATACCGAAACCTAGTGACACCCTTTATCTTCACCCTGCTTGAGC